AATTCAGGAAAATTTTCATACACTAGTTAAAAATAAATTTCAATAAATCTTAATAGTTTTTTGAAATAGAGATTGAGTAGTTTTCTAATTTTTTCTTTCTTTTTTTTTTTTTAATTCAGTTTCTCAAAAAGATCTAACTAGAGAATTATGTATTCAATATTGTAATATTGAATTCACTTTTTTAATATTACGTTGAGGGGAGAAAATTAAATTTTAAATCAAAAATAAATTTTAATATTTTTAATTACATTTATGCCCCATAATTAGTAAGGCATATTTTACTCTTTAAAATGTAGATGAATAAACATAAAATAAAATTAACTTTTGGTGACCTTTAATTAATTTAATAAATAGGATAATAAAAAAATAAAGTATTATTAAACTGTAATTTTCATAGGATTCATAGCTTATTTAATTGGATGACCACGTTGTGATAGCTTAACAGCTAGTAAAGAACAACTAAGAACCGTCGATCCATTGTACTTCTTAAATTTAATTCATTGGTCCCCAATGCTTTTTATTTATTGTTTATATTTAATTTGTTGTAAATATTCTTGGAATTAAGTTTACTATTCTAGATTTATTTTACATGTTCATGCATTTCACACTCACTTATAAGCCCTCTGCTCGAGCTACTACCATATATGATTAGAATTGAGGCGGTAGTAGTGTAGACATGAGAGAGTTTCAGTCCTCATCCATAAACATGAAAAATTCTCATTCAAATGAATTATTTTGTTATTTCCGCCACATTAGAATTATTTTGAATGCATTATCAATTTAAGAGTTTGAACTACCAACACCATGCTGACTATTGATGCAGTACTTATCAATATTCATAAGGTTCAAGAGGAATAATTCATGTCTAATATAAATATTTATAAAGTCCTTTTATTTTTAAGGTTGGATCTATAGTCCGATCAACTTGGGTCTGTCTGAGTACAGTTATACACAATTCACGTTGACAGAGCTGCCATCAACAAAAAAAGGTTATGATGAAGCTGGTAGGGCTTGCTGGAAGCCATCATTTGATTCCGTTACTACATAATTTAGTAAATCCTATGGAAAGGAATGAAAATTTTTTATTACCATCCCTTCATTCATGTTTTGAAATTATTTTTTATGAACTCAGATTGGAACTATTATGTGTTGAATGCGATTTGGACGGATTTTTCTATAAAGTTTGTTTGGATCCTTTAGAACTCAGAAGATGCATTGCTTCGTAGGTGGAGTACGTGTCCCACGTGGCCAAAATTAGCCGTGAGATTCTTGATACGTGTGCTGCCATCTGCCAACTTGGAAATTACGTGGCTCACCGCTTCAAATTACGACCAAAATTAGCTGCTCTGTTCCTGAACACTGCCTAAGGACCCACGGGGCCCACAAATGACAAACTCTATAGTTTTTTAGATGGGTACAAATTTGAGATATGGTTTTGTAGGTCATCTATATGTACGATCCTAATTCAATGTGTTATTAATCAAGAGGAGTAAGAATAAGGTTAAACATGTCGATGGAAATAGAGATGAAAAGATCTCGATTTACGAAAATATCGATGAAAATGTTGATGTCTTAAATTGTGAAAATTGATGGAACTTGTTTAAATTAATAAATAAAATTTTAATTGTAACTTAATTAAGCTATGATTGATCACTTTTAACGATCATAGGTAAAAAGATTAATAACTTACTCATGGAAATGTCAATGTCAATAAAAATGTTTGAACACAAAGATTGATGAAAATAACTTGAATTAGTATATTGAAATTCAATGTTACATAATTATATTTTATTCACAATTTTTAATCCATTCTAGTCTTTAATTATAATTATATATATGTGTGATAAAATAGTAGTAGAGAATTTGAAATATAAAATTTTATTACAAGTAGGGGTGTTACTGAACACTCTAGATTTTTTTTATAAAAAAAATAAATAAAACAAAGAGTTACCAAAAAAACATGTAAATTTCTTTCTCAAATTTTGAAAATAATGAAGCCGAAGGTGGAATAAGGGGAAAAAAATGAAAAGTATAATTTTAAAAATGGTCATATTTGAAAAACCACTGAATTGTTGCTATATTTCCAACTATGACAAATATTTTTACTATCTATAATTAAAAATATGCAAAGAAACTACGGTGCTATCACCTATAAATACCATGATTGAGATACTCATATTCGAACTCATCAAATTAGAAAAATGATGAAATGCTTACTACTTTCTTTTTTAATTATCGCCATCTTCATTGGTGTTCCTACTGCCAAAGGCGATGTTAACTTCGATTTGTCGACTGCCACTGCAAAAACCTACACAAAATTTATCGAAGATTTCAGGGCGACTCTTCCATTTAGCCATAAAGTGTATGATATACCTCTACTGTATTCCACTATTTCCGACTCCAGACGTTTCATACTCCTCAATCTCACAAGTTATGCATATGAAACCATCTCGGTGGCCATAGATGTGACGAACGTTTATGTTGTGGCCTATCGCACCCGCGATGTATCCTACTTTTTTAAAGAATCTCCTCCTGAAGCTTATAACATCCTATTCAAAGGTACGCGGAAAATTACACTGCCATATACCGGTAATTATGAAAATCTTCAAACTGCTGCACACAAAATAAGAGAGAATATTGATCTTGGACTCCCTGCCTTGAGTAGTGCCATTACCACATTGTTTTATTACAATGCCCAATCTGCTCCTTCTGCATTGCTTGTACTAATCCAGACGACTGCAGAAGCTGCAAGATTTAAGTATATCGAGCGACACGTTGCTAAGTATGTTGCCACTAACTTTAAGCCAAATCTAGCCATCATAAGCTTGGAAAATCAATGGTCTGCTCTCTCCAAACAAATATTTTTGGCGCAGAATCAAGGAGGAAAATTTAGAAATCCTGTCGACCTTATAAAACCTACCGGGGAACGGTTTCAAGTAACCAATGTTGATTCAGATGTTGTAAAAGGTAATATCAAACTCCTGCTGAACTCCAGAGCTAGCACTGCTGATGAAAACTTTATCACAACCATGACTCTACTTGGGGAATCTGTTGTGAATTGAAAGTTTAATAATCCACCCATATCGAAATAAGGCATGTTCATGTCTTTTTTTTTATTTATGAAATAATAAATAAGTGGTGAATCTTGTTATTTGTTCCAATATTTTTTCCTAGGCTTATTTATTTATTATTATTCTTAAATATTTATTTATCGGACGTAATTATAAAAAGAGCGTAAAAATGTTAAAAAGATAAAAGAACCTAACAAGGATTTATAACTGAACAATTGGGTCTGAGATAGAACCTAGAAATATTAATATGGTTTCATATAACTACTGAACAATTGGGTTTGAGATAAAACCTAGGAATATTAATATGGTTTCATATAACTGATTACGATGAAACTCCATGAATATGAAAACCTAATATTATTTAATTTAAATTAAAAAATTTTAAAGTTTTAAGAAAATGACTTGAATTTAGGATTCAACTCTAAAATGTTAAGACAGGTTAGCGTCTTGACCAATTGAACTATATATATTTTATCCACGGTACAGATTATCTCACAATAGCAGCTAGATGTTCCTAATATATTTTTTAATTAAATTATGCAACAGTATAAATTCTCAAATGAAATTAATACCCAATATTATTGTAATTAACCATATTAGTAATCAAGACATTTATACCTTCTAAAGGATTTTAGTTCCATTTTTGTGCAAACAATTGCAAAGTTGAAGCACATGTTATTTTTTCCGGAAATAGAAGATCGTGATGCCACACATTTATAAAAAGTGTCTAGTATAAGTTCATAAACTTTTAATCCATGTGTCCAATAGATCTTTTAACGAATTAGAAGTGTCCATATGGTCCATAAATGCAAGATAGAGGTGAACTCAAATAAGATACCCGCGGTCCTGGAAATGGAATCACTTAATAACTTAAAGTAGAATGACTTACCCTATTAGTTGTTCTCTAGGAGAGAGTCGTTAAACTGTCACAATGTATTCGTGGCACAAAGCTTCAAATTATGTCCAGGAATCATTTGTGTGTAAGAAACGTATTAACACCCTACCAAACTTGAAAAAATTCTAATTTAATAATAATTATTATCCAATTTATTAAATTAGTTAAGGCCCAAAAAATTAATTTTATTTTATATTTAAATGTCTCATATGTTTATTATTCGTGGTTTAAAAAATAAAATATTATGGATGTTACAAATATGATTAAAACAATAATGGAGATTTATTTTTTGTTTCACAAATAATTTTTAAATAATATTGGAAAAATGAATTCAATATTAGAAAATTGAATACTTAATTAAATAGTAAGATCTGAGAGAAATTGAATTTAATAAATAAAAAAATAAAAAAAACACTACTGAATCTCAGTTTTAAAAAAATAGTTAAGATTTGCTTAAATTTATTTTTAACTAGTGTATGTAAATTTTTTTGAATAAATGGAATTGATGTGATAAGAAATTTCGTGTATTTGCGCAGTTTAGAGAACAAAAACAAATGCAAAGAACGCTAGTTTTCATCAAAATTATAAATTTTTATTTTCTTCAACGGGAAGTTTCTTTGTATTTATGAATTCGTCAGGAAGAAAAATTATAAAAAGACTGCTACTCATTTTCATTTTTGTCAAAATAAATACAGTTAATAGAAATAGGAATTTTGGGAAATTAATTTTGGTGATTGGTTTCATGATGGAATACAAACCAACAAAAACTATAAAGAAAACATTTATTAAATTTCGAAAAGTTAAAATTTATTTTCTCAGATTTATGCTTTATTTTATTGTTTGTTTTTCAAATCTCAAGAGAGATCAAATTTATTCAATATTTTTGCTTAATTCATAAAAATAATAATTGATTGAAAAATAAATTAGATATTTCATGTCATCCAATAATTAAATATTAAATGGAACAAACATTTACATTCAAATATTTTAGTATCAAATATCTAAATTTCATGTAAATTTTCTTAAACGTATCTTGTTATAGAGAACAAAAACGACCTGAAACGAGACAAGAGAGCGAAAGTCCGAGATCATCGATGCAGGGGGACCGGCCCATACCGTAAAGGGCCGACCCACTCCAAGAGACGACCCGGTGCAGAGACCATCACAGCGCCTCGGTGCCGACCCCACCTCGGCGCCGAGGCACTGGCCTCTTACCTTGGCCCAAGGCCAAGGTGCAATGCGGTTTCCTCCGCTCAAATCCAATGGCCAGAGGTTAAACACCCATGTTCGGGGTCGAGCCCAACATCGACCCTCTCCTATCGATTGACAATCGTTGGGCCTCGACAATACAAAGTTAGGGCTCGATTAAAAGGTATCGATAGGATCCTTCCAGCAATTATAAATAGTTGTGTTGCCTAACCCTAAGGTAAGGCAGTCTCCATACTAGACTATCTCCCTACCCTTCTTGTTAAGCATCGGAGCCCGTGTGACAAAGGTCACACCAGTTTAGATCGGGTTTGTTTTGCAGGTGTTCGCTCCCTCAATCATCGAGTTGGGTGTGTGAAGGAACGAGAACCGAAAGGTCGCAATCCACGCATCAACAATTGGCGCCGTCTGTGGGGAACGATACATCAAAGCAAGCTTAGTCAAAGCGACATCCCGATCCGAGGTGAGGCTTCGATCCAAGGCGTGTAGAATGGAGCAAGACAACATAAATCCTGGAGATAGCCAGCAGAGTTTCGAAAAGAAGAGACCGAATAGAGCGACCGACCACTCGAGTGGGGCAAGACCAAGCCCTGATCATTGACCTAATCCGACCACTCTTGACAGGGGAGAACCAGCTGAGGAGGTAAAGTCTGGCCCTCTGACAGCCGAAGATCGGCGAGTCAATATTAGAACCAGATTGTGGAATAAGGAAAGAGAAAGCCTTATAAAATTCCTCAGAAGCAACGCCGACGTGTTCGCATGGACACATGAGGACAGGCCAAGAATCGATCGAGGAGTCATGGTACATCGACTGAACGTCGACGAGAGCTGTAAGCCAGTGAAACAGAAGCGTCGCGCGTTCAACCAAGAAAGGAATGAGATTGTAGCCGAGCAGCTGAAAGAGCTACTGAAAGCAGGATTCATTCGGGAAGTACATTATCCCCAGTGGATATCCAACGTGGTGCTGGTAAAAAAGCCAAATGGCAAATGGAGAATGTGCATCAACTTCACAGACCTAAATAAGGCTTGTTCAAAGGATTCTTTTCCCTTGCCTCGAATAGATCAACTAGTTGATGCTACTGCAAGACATGAAAGGTTGAGTTTCATAGACACCTACTCTTGATATAATCAAATCAAGATGAATTTGCTGGATCAGGAGAAGACTTCTTTTGTCACAAGCTGAGGTTTATATCCATACACGGTGATGTCGTTTGGATTGAAAAATACAGGAGCGACCTACCAGCGAATGGTTAATCGAATATTTACAGCCTTAGTCGGTAAAAATATGGAAGTCTACGTAGACGATATGCTGGTAAAGAGTCAAGCAACACAAGGAAGATTTGGCAGAAGCATTCGACCTTTTGTGAAAGTACAAGATGAAGTTGAATCCTACTAAATGCATGTTTGGAGTGACCTCGGGCAAGTTCCTGGGATTTTTAGTACACCAAAGGGGAATCGAGGCCAATCTAGATAAAATCAAAGCTGTTCTGGAGATGAATCCACCTAGAAATCTAAAGCAACTACAAGGACTTAATGGAAGGATAGTAGCACTCAACAGATTCCTTAGCCGATCAACTGACAAGTGCCTCTCCATTCTTCAAAGTCCTAAGGAAGAAAAGGCAATTTGAATGGACAGAAGAGTGTGAGGTTGCCTTTAAGAAGCTAAAGCAATACTTGGTGGCAGCCCCACTCCTCTCAAAGCCGATCGTGGGTGATGAACTCTACTTATACTTAGTTGTATCTGACACTGCAGTGAGTTCCGCGTTGATAAAAGAAGAAGATAGACGACAGACTCCAATCTACTACACAAGTAAAGCAATGGTAGATGCAAAGCTTAGATACCCTCAAATGGAGAAATTGGCGTTAGCGCTGGTCACTTCGGCTCGGAGACTACGTCCATACTTCCAAGCTCATAGAATAACTGTCCTCACCAACTTTCCCTTACGACAGATTTTGCAAAGGCCAAACACTTTTGGGCGACCGGTGAAATGGGCAGTGGAGCTCAGCGAGTACGACATTCATAATAAGCCAAGAACTGCCATAAAAGGGCATGCTGTGGCAGACTTCATAGCAGGATTAACACCAACAGAGCCCCAGGTATATAGTATCGACTCATAATTAGTTGAGGAAGAGCAACCCTGGACACTCTACGTAGATGGGTCCTCAAATTTTCGAGGATGTGGGGCAAGACTTCTACTGATCTCTCCCAATAGATAGAGATTCGAATATGCACTGCGGTTCAGTTTTCATGCATCCAACAATGAAGCGGAGTATGAAGCTCTGTTAGCGGGATTAAAAGTGGCCATGTACATTGGAGTCAGGAATATACTGCTACTCAGTGATTCACAGCTGATTGTAGGTCAGGTGAAAGAGGAATTCCAGGCTAGAGAACCGCGAATGGCGAAATACCTTTCTCTGGTAAAAAACCATATCGGCCAGTTCTCAAAATATGAAATTCGACTGATTTCACGTACTCAAAACGTCAATGCAGATGCGTTAGCTCGATTAGCTGCAGCTTATGAAACCGACTAAGGAAGAATTGTACCGATCGAGATTCTACCCGAGTCAAGTATAAAAGCTCAAGAAGCGATGGACATCGACGAACAAGGGCAACCAGAAGAAAGCTAGATGAGCCCTTTGATCAAGTATTTGAGAGACGGGATTCTGCCTACTGAAAAGATAGAGGCCCAACAACTACAACGACAAGCAGCCAGATATGTGCTTAAAGACGACAATTTGTACAAAATAGGCTACTCATTGCCACTTTTAAAATATCTAATGCCCGATGAAGCACAATCCCTAAGTCACAAAATAGTTCGACAAGGGTACTACTGGCCGACCATGCTAAATGACACGAAGCAATTCACAAAAGAATGCGACAAATGCCAACGGTTTGCAATAGTATCTAGACAATCGTCAGAGCCTCTGATAAGCATAATTAGTCATTGGCCTTTTGATTAGTGGGGAATAGACCTTATAGGACCCTTCC